GAGGCATTGTCGGTGGTTAGACGTGGTTAAGGATTACGACTGTGAGATCCTTTACCACCCGGGCAAGGCTAACGTAGTGGCCGACGCCCTGAGCCGCAAGGCGGTAGCGGCCCCGATCCGAGATGTCTGTCTAAGGATGAAAGTGATTACCCCACTATTGGAGCAGATTCGAGAGGCACAGGTTGAGGGCCTGAAGGAGGAGCGCCAGAAGTGTGAGAGGATTGTGGGCTGAGTAGCTTCGTTTGATTACGATAGCCGAGGATTGTTGACCCTGCATGGGAGAGTCTGGGTACCGTACTGGGGTGGAGTACGGCAGCTATTGATGGATGAGGCCCACAAGTCTCGGTTCTCCATATATCTAGGGGCGACGAAGATGTACAGAGATCTTCGACCCGATTACTGGTGGCCCTGCATGAAGCGGGACGTAGCTTGGTACGTGGAGAGATGCCTGACCTGCAGGAAGGTCAAGGCAGAACACCAGAGGCCTCATGGCAAGATGCAGTCGTTAGACATTCCTGTGTGGAAATGGGAAGATATCACTATGGATTTCATTACTAAGCTTACCAGGACCGCACGTGGGGTCGATTCGATATGGGTCATCGTGGATCGGTTGACCAAGAGCGCTCATTTAATACCGATCCGGGAGAGTATCTCGGCCGAGAAGCTGGCAGATATTTATGTGCGAGAGATAGTGACACATCATGGAGTGCCTGTCTCGGTGGTGTCAGACTGAGATGTCCGTTTTACTTCCAGGCTTTGGAAGCGATTTCACGACGAGATGGGTACTCGTCTCCATTTCAACACCGCTTTCCACCCTCGGACGGACGGTCAGAGTGAGAGGACGATTCAGACTCTCGAGGACATGCTACGTGCATGCGTGTTAGATTTTGGTGGCAGTTGGGATACGTATCTTCCGTTAGCGGAATTTTCGTATAACAACAGTTACCATGCCAGCATAGACCGGCCTCCCGTTGAGATGCTCTATGGGAGGAAGTGTATGACCCCAATTTGTTGGGGTGAGGTCGGTCAGAGAGTCATGGGGAGTACGGAGGTAGTGCTCAAGACCATGGAGCGGATTCAGCAGGTCCGGAGCAGGCTCCAGACTGCTCAGAGTCGGCAGAAGAGTTATGCCGACAAGCGGCGTTCGGACTTGGAATTTCAGGTGGGCGATATGGTCCTCCTGAAAGTGTCACCCTGGAAGGGTGTTATCAGGTTTCGGAAGCGGGGCAAGCTGGGCCCCAGGTTCATTGGTCCTTTTAGGGTTTTGGCTCGGGTGGGTCGGGTTGCTTACCGGTTAGACCTTCCAGTAGAGCTCAGCCAGATTCACAGCACGTTCCACGTTTCCAAGCTGCGGAAGTGCTTGGTGGATGATTCAGCAGTGATACCCATGGAGGATATTCAGGTTGATGACAACCTAAATTACATAGAGAAACCAGTGGCATCTTAGATCGCAAGACGAAGGAGCTGAGGAACAAACGGGTCAAGCTAGTAAAGGTGCAGTGGCAGCACCGCAAGGGTTCGGAGTGGACGTGGGAGCCTGAGGAGGAAATGAGGGAGCACTACTCGGAGTTGTTTTCAGGCACAACAGACTTCGAGGACGAAGTCTAAGACAAGTGGGGGAGAATTTTAACGCCCCGTTTATGGTACACAATTCTTTATTTATTCAAGTGTTTATGATTGAGCCACTCGACGAGTTGGTAGCCCTAACTCGTCAAGTAGATGCCTTAAAAGACGCGGGATTTAAAAAGCCTGCTAGGCGAGTCCAAGCATGGACTCGACGAGTAGGACTGCCAGGAAGAAACCCTATTCTCAGGGTTTTGCACCCTGTTTAAACATCTTAAACCCCTTTTCAGGGTTTCCCTTATCAACCTCCTTGTCTCCAGAAAACCCTAGTTCGTTTGTGAGCCTCTCTCTTGAGTTTTTAGTGTGTTTTGTGCCTTTGAAGGTGGGTGCAAGAGCTTGAGCTAGCAAAGCTTGGGGAAAGAGAACTAGATCCAGGAACACACTCATCTTTGGCATCTTTCTGAGGTAAAAAGTTCTTATCTTGATGAACTATAGCTTAGATCTTTTGCATGTCGATTCTTGGGTCTTTTTGACCCTTTTGATTAGGCAAAGCTACTCTCTTGGATTGTTTGCAAGACTTTTCCCATTCTCTGTAGTTTGGGGCCTCTAGAGCCATAAAAAGGGTTTTGAACCCGTTTTCATGCAAGTCATGACCATGTTCATGAAATTAGATTGCTATAAATTGAGTTTGGGTTCATTTGAGGTGTGCAAAGCCATAAAGTCTCCAACTTTATAGAAATGGACCTTGGAAACAATCTAGATCTGTATTTTGGAGCTGTAGAAGTGTGAAACCAGCTAACTAGGTTAGATCTGCATGGGACTCAACGAGTTCATAAGGAACTCGACGAGTCCGATGAAGAACCCCGATGATGTTCGTAGAACTCGGCGAGTTGATTAGGAACTCGGCGAGTAGGAGGATCTTGTCCCTTCCCTGATTATGCCAAGACTTGGCGAGTCTGAAGAAGACTCGATGAGTCAGTTCAACAAACCGCGATGGCAAGTAGCTTAAGGACTCGTCGAGTCAAGAGGTGACTCGGCGAGTCGAGTCGTGATTTGTAGGGTTCTGAATTCTAGGACTCGACGAGTCACATGGCTGACTCGGCGAGTTTGGTCAACCTGAAAGGTTGACTTTGACCAGGATGTTGACTTTGATCAGGGACAAAATGGTCATTTTACCCTAAGAATAGTATCTGTTTTTGACTAAATGTCCTTATTAAATTATAGCCGGAGAGTCGTCGGAGCAGCAGACAGAGATTCCTCGCCCAAAGTTTCAGCAGTCAGTCAGACGAGGTGAGTTTTCCTTCCAGTAGGAACGGGTCAACGACCACAATGTCGGCCCGTTTAGCTGATAGTAGTTCCGGACTTCGGTCCGATTTTTGGGCGGTCCCGAGAAGTAGTTATGTATGCTTGATGTCTTCGTGATTCATGCATGTTTATGATATGTGTATATGTTCCGGACTCCGGTCCGATGTCGGGCAAGCCCGATACAGTATATGAGATTATGCTATATGTTCATGTTTATGTTATGTTCAGTTTGTTCCGGACTCCGGTCCGATGCCGGGAGGGGCCCGATGCAGTGGGCAGGGCCCAATTTATTCCAGACTTCGGTCCGATGCCGGGCAAGGCCCGATGCAGTGGGCGGAGCCCAATTTATGCCGAACTTCGGTTTGATGCCGGGCGGGGCCCGATGCAATGGGCAAGGCCCAATATATGTTATATGTGTTAGTGTATGGTATGTGGTAGTTTGGGGGAGCTCACTAAGATTCGTGCTTATAGTTTTCAGTTTTGGTTTTAGGTACTTCCACTAGTAAATGGAAGGGCTCGGGATGATCGCATGGCACACACCACAGTCACAGCCTGAGAGTTTACTCTGATGTTTTGTTATGAGATTTTGATTTGAAACAGATACTATGATGTTTTATGATACATGATTTATGATTTTACTTATGACTTCGGATGGTTTATGATTTTAATAATAATTTGAAAACGAAATTTTTGGGTCATATTTTTGGGATGTTTTAGAGAGAGAGAGAGAGAGAGAGAGAGAGAGAGAGAGGTCAAAGTAAAAAAACACCTTATTGTCATCTTCTACGGCTAAGCATGGATTTTTCGACCACATGAGTTTTTGAATGCCATATTTTTCAGATTTTTTTCTCTCTTTATTTCAAACTCAAGAACACATATTGGACATTAGATTATGTAGGAACTAATATTCCCACAATATGAATGACAATGCAAAAATAAGAACAGTAAATGAATCAATCTCAGATAAACAATGTATCAGTTGAATATTTTTGCATTTTAAAACTCATCTATCAAACATTTCAATATCTAACAAATTATTCTTTGTCGATATGTTTGTGTGGGTTCGATTTCATAAACATGCTTTATGGTTCGAAACCCATCACTTTAAGAAACACAAGTTAGTTCTCGAAGCACGATTTAAGAAAACACGATTTACAGATCGAAACTTGGTACCTAAACCCAAGAATTATTCGAAAGCATGAAGATTAGATATTATTCGTGATTTAGGGTTAAAAACCTATCAGTTTTGCGTGTTCATGTTCGTTCGTGATTTGAAGTTTGACGTGTTTAAACTTTCGATCGAGTTTAAATGTAAAAGTTAAAACAATTGTTTTCTAGGTTGAAAACTTGAAGGGCTCGATTTTTGAAGGAATCTGAATCTTGAACAAATTGAAAGGGTTAATTTCTAGGTTCTGGTGTGTTTGTTCTTCGATTTTGAAAGAAAAATCATTCTTGATCGAACAAGGTGACCGAAAAACTAATGTTTAACAGGAAAAAACGTTGGAAACCGAAATACCGACTATATTTGGTCATACTGGAATTTTTTAAACAATTTCAACAAGTTTAATTCGAACACAAAAATAAATTTAACGACTAAATATGCAAAAAAAAAAAGAAAAAAAAAAAAAAAAAAAAAACTAAACTTGGTTATCCTTTACATAAATAAATCAAAATCAACGTATAAAATTGATGACACATTTTTTAGGGACTAAACATCACAATTTTGACTCTAGAAAGAAATCACATGTTTCACCTGTTATTAAAGTTTTATATCAATTAGAATTTACATCAACAGATTCTTGCATTTTGAAACTTTAGGTTTTTTAGAGTTATAAATAATTATAAAAACAAGATATAAAATAAACAAATTTCATTTACATGTGTATTAATTTTATACAACACATGAAACCATAATTTAAAGGGTGATTCGTGTTCAAAAAACGTTACACATTTACTCAAATAAAATAGAATTGCATATTTTCTATAAAACACCAATTTATTGCATATATCATAAATAAAAATTCATATAAAGCGACTAAACGTAAATGAAAAACAAAAGAGGTTAACTTCTTACAAATTCACCGTCTTCTTCCACAGAAATCATCAAATCACCACTCCATAACCGGTCAACAATGGAGCCCTCCGCCTCCTTCAGCTTCAAGAAGTCACCAAGATCGTCGTCCTCATCTTCCTCACTCCTTCTGACAACAATAATTCCGGTAGCAATGCTCATCCTCCTCTCTTCTTTCTTATTCTCTACCTCCACCCACCACCACCATTCTTCAACACCACCACCACTCATCCTCCAACCTCCGCCGTCACCACCACCACATTCCTTCATCAAAAGCACCTGCGACACCACTCTCTACCCTTCTCTCTGTTTCAATACCATCTCCTCAATCCCCATTAACCTCCACCACGACAACCATACAAAAACGCGCAATGTCCTTAAATTCTCTATCCAGAAAACCATCAATCGTCTGGCCATAACACGTTCAAGAATGGCCGCCATGAATTTGAAGGTTCGAGAAAAAAATTGGGTCCAGAATTGCCTCGAATTGCTTGATTTGTCGCAATACGAACTCCAAGAATCAATGAATCACTTATCCCCTCCTTACGATGATCCACCACCGTATGCCGCCATCAAGAACCTCCTCAGCGCCGCCATGACTAACGAGAACACCTGCATTGAAGGTTTTTCCGACTTAAAACTCAATGGCCCCAGCCAGACACGATTTGGCCGCTTATTTCAGAAATCTCTGACACCGATCATGCGAATGATCAGCAACTGCTTAGCCATCACCAACTACCTCGAGACCATCGGCTCCATCTACACCTTCAAAGATTCACGTCTTACGTCCAAGGGCGTTTACCGTGATCATGTCCCGTCGTGGATGACCGCCGCTGACCGGAGACTGATGCAGACATCTCCCAGAATTATCCCGCCCACCGTCGTTGTAGCTAGAGACGGCACCGGAAATTTCACAACTATCGCCGCTGCAGTTGCAGCGGCCCCCAGCCGAGGCAAAGGTAGACACGTGATTCAAATCAAAGCAGGGATCTACAAGGAGAATCTCGTGATTCCGAGAAATAAGGCTAACATCATGCTCGTCGGAGACGGAATGAACTCAACCATAATCACCAGCAACAAAAACTTCGTCGATGGCTACACCACCTTCACCTCCGCAACACTAAGTACGTATCAAATTCGAACTCTAATCCTACTCCTTCCGAGTTTCAATTCGTTTGATTAATTACAATTACAAATTTACAATTACATTGATTTGATCGGTGCAGCTGTTGTGGGGAACAACTTTCTCGCAAGGGATCTAACAATCATGAACACCTCCGGTCCAGAGAAACATCAAGCGGTGGCGCTAAGAGTAACCTCCGACGCTGCGTTCTATCACTGTCAATTCATCTCCCATCAGGATACACTCTACGCACACTCCCTCAGCCAGCTCTACCGAGAATGTGCAATCCATGGCACAATCGATTTCATCTTCGGAAACGCAGCAGCAATCTTCGAACGATGCCTGATCCTCGTTCGCAAACCAATTCTAGGTCAAAAAAACGTGATCACAGCACAAGGCAGACTAGATCCCAACCAAAACACCGGCATTTCCCTCCAGGACTGCACGATAATGGCAGCACCGGACTTCAAAGTGAAAGAACGAGCGAATTTCTCAACATTTCTAGGTCGGCCATGGAGGAATTATTCGAGAACTATCGTGATGAGAAGCTATCTAGGTGACATTATAGATCCACAAGGTTGGTGTCCATGGAATGAGTATAGCAACCTGGAGACTGTTGAATACATTGAGTATAATAACTTTGGACCTGGTGCAGACACAAGGAAGAGAGTCCGATGGGCAGGTTATCATAATAATTCAAGAAGAAATCTTGAGAAGATGGGGATTCAGTCGTTTTTACATGGAGCAGATGAATGGTTAAAGTCGACTGAATATTTGCCCCTCTGTAGTGGTCTCTATGCAAAATATTGTAAAACAGGCACTACACAGGTTCAGTGAATAGTAAATGTAATGTTGTACAGAATTGTAATTTTTTAGATTTTTTGTTACATATACAGCTTTGGTAAATTTCTTATTTTGTCACAGCAAATTTAGTAATTTTACATTCAGTCTAATTACAGTGTTGTCAATGTTGTGTGCTCCACTTCTAAATAAATTGAAAAGGTTATTGTCAGAGAGAAGTCCTAAGTTTTTTGACCTTTTACTTTGAAAAATACTGGAAATACCCGTTATAGTCATTTTTTTTTTGGGGTATTTCAAAATTTAGTTATAAAAACACACTTTTCCGGCTATAGACATTCATTCGGCGGAGGACCCTCTACGGGGCTCCGCGTAACGACGAATTCTCCGCGGAACTAAAAATGTTGTACGTTTTGAGACTGAGCAATAATTGTCTGCATAGACAGCTCCGCGGAGACATTAAGCCCTCTGCGGAGTGATTGTTTTGGATGTTCATTAAATCCTCCGCAGAGGTCGTGACGAGGGCTCCGCGAAGGCCTTAACATCTCCGCGGAATGGGTTGTTAGAAGGGTATTAGTGACAGTTTTTGTGATATAAGTGATTTTGTTTATTTTTTTTTATCTATTTGCAAAATTCAATCGGTTTTAGGGTTGAAAATTTTTTCAAAGAAAATATGAGTTTTGTTATTTTATATACGGGGGGTTTTTGGCAGACGAGTAATGGAATTAACACCTACGTTATACCAAAGTTTGACAACTTAGGTTTACTGCTTCCGCCTAATTTTGACCGTCGCATATTGTTTGATTTGATTAAAATTAAGGCTAATACGTTCAATAGTAATATATCATTGTCATTTCAACACCCGGTTCATGGGTATGTTATGAATATTGTAGATGAAGCAGATGTTCATCAACTCATAAATGTAATGTCTGAAACGAAGGAGATTATGCATTTGTATTTGGAGGTGTTTGAGGGATGGGTCGAACAGACAGAAGCGGTTGACAAGATTGTATCATACAATGTTGAAAACATTGTATCTGATAATGTTGAAGAGTGTTTACAAGAAGAAACTGTGGCAGTGAATACGGTGGAAGAAGGAAATTTATATGAGTTTGGAAGATTGTGTGACAAAACTTTGTCAGACGATGAAGAATCAAATGAAGGTTGGTCAGAAGATGAGTTCACACACGGAAAAAAAAGCTTCATACATTTTTTACGGTATGCCTCCCATACCTGATTGTCCTGATCCCATTGGTAAACCTGGACCATTTCACAGTTTAGGTCCAAATGATGATATGTTTGTTCGTCAAACGTATGATAACAAACAACAACTAATATTTGCTTTGAGTTTTAAAGCAACCAGATAAAAGTCTTAGTTTAAGACCAAATATTCTAACAAAAACCGTTACGAGGTATATTGTGAAATTGAGAACTGTAGTTGGCGTTTATATGCAAAACGCAATGATCCGACTGATGAATTTGAAATCAGGACTTTCAACAACGTGCACACATGTTCATCATTACAGATACACGCAAATCATAAGCACACAAATAAAAAAAGTCATGGGTACTATATTGCATGAGATTATGGGAAAAACTTGTTCAAAGGTTTGGAGGCCTAATGAAATATCAATGGATTTGAATGCTTTGCTGGAAATCAATGTAAGTTACAAACAAGCTTGGCGTGCAAAACAATATGCTATGGAACTGTTGTTGGGATCATCTGAAGAATGTTTTTCCAAACTTCCTATTTATTTTCACAATTTGAAGAAGCATATTCCTGGTACAGTGGCCTATATACAAACAGATTCTAAAGATTGTTTCGAGTGTTGTTTTTATGCCATTGGGAGTACGGTAAATACAAAAACTTGTTGTCATTTAATATATACTTATTTGTAAAAAATGTAGAGTGTTTATGTGTTCCATACAAATATATTGCAGATACGAGCGTTCAAACGTTTTTGTCGTAAATTCATAATTATGGATGGTGTCCATTGTTGGATTAGGTGTCTAAGCCCATAACTATATTTGGTATGTACTTGACCCGATTATGAGCATGGTCATTTTGGGTTGCCTTCTGTGACATCCCCAATTTCACGGCCAGAAAAGACCGATTTGTTTATGCTTTGTTTTATAAATCAGAGTGATCGTTTAAAGAAAACGGTTGCGGAATTTGTTCCCAAAACAAGATATGATAATAACTTATCAAAACATTTCTCAAAGAGAATGCATTTTTATTTAATAATAAAACCTCGGGATGTCATGTTCCGATACAGACACATAAGCATAAACATATCATATATTCATTTACACTAGTGATTTACATCTCTTATAATCTCTCAGTGAAATGGGTCGTCGCATCGATACCTGTGATACAAAGAAAACTGAGTGGGTCAGGCTTGGGAGCCTGGTGAGCATATAGGGTTTTCAACCCACAATAATATAATTATTATTTTCAATCATCAAACAATCAACCTAATTACCCATCCCCATTATCTTCGTTTAATCTTCCCTAAAGATATTATCCTAAGGGTCATCTCCTATATCATGTTTACCTCTCATCTCCTTACATCTTATTTCCTTATATGTTTGTTCCTAAGAACTTTTCCTAAGGATCATCGCCTACATCGCATAGACAATACTAATTCGGGGATCACTCCCTCAATATGTGTCTAGTAAGGGTTAGGGTATCATCGCATGATTACGCAGCCACAACATCGCCTGGACTCGTAAATCATAATAAGGGTTAGACTATCATTGCATGAATACGCAGCCACAACATCGCCTGGACTCGTAATTCATAACAAGGGTTAGACTATCATCGCATGAATACGCAGCCACAACATCGCCTGGACTCCTAAATCATCACCTATCTATCATCACCTAATTATCATCACCATTATATCCTCACCTATCTCTTATCACATTATTTCATCACACACCAACTATTTCATCTACCCATGTTCTACCCAACATATTTGTAGATATAAATTACATATACAGTTTAAAACTATTTAAAAACTCGTATAAAACATTCATTCAGCATCCATCTCAAGTAAACAAACAAAGTATAAACACATAGCACGTATTTCATAGCAAATACTTCATATCTATGTGTTAGAAGAAAGTAACTACACACTCACTTGATCAGAAGATGATCGGGCAGCACTACGGCTCTAAGAGTAGTATTTCTTCGGTGAAACTAGAAGATCTTCACACACCGGGCTTCTCGCAGGCAGAGCTTCGGCTCGAAAACTCTTTTCTTCTCGGGATCTTCGGCTTCGGGACTTGCTTCGGGTCTCGGGATGATACCGGGGCTTCGGGGGGGTTAAAATAGGGCTTAGAGAGGGTATCGGGAGTGGGAGAGAAGAGATAGAGCAACCAAAATCGGCTGACCCTCGATTTCCATTTATAGGGTCATTTTTCAGCTCTCACGTCGTGAATTTTAAGTTCTCAAGTCGTGAATTCAATAGTCATCAGGTGCGTCATCGCCACTTGCGTTTGTCAGGCTCCAGAAGTCATAACTACTGAGTTCACGTCGTGAACACTGTATTCACGTCGTGAACTCTGACAGTTTTGGGGTTTCGCGCCCCGAACTTCAGAAATTCACAACTTTCGCATACGAACTCCGTTTTCGACGTTCTTTATATTCACGCGTAGGTGAGATTATACTCTACAACTCTCGTTTAGACTACGTTGGCTAATTTTGAATTTAATTTTAATATATTATTAATATATTATTTTTAGTAGGCCGGGACAGGAAAACTCCGTTCGAAATTCATAACTCCTTCATCTGAACTCCGTTTTCGTCTGTCTTTTTACCGTTAGACTACTAACGATGAGATCTTCAATTCTCATTTAGATTGTTTCGGCTAAATATCGCTCGATCTCATATTCGAACTTCGGGTTGTACACTGCTAAGCCGAAATTTCGAAAAATCATAACTTCCTCATACGAAGTCAGATTTAGACGTTCTTTTTATGCACGCTCTCGGTTTAATGTATTCTACGACTTTCATTTAGATCGCTAAGGCCAAATATCGCTCTAACGTAAATTCACTATTTACGTCGCGCTGTGTCGTGCCGGTTCTGTCGCAAAACTTCGACAGGTCATAACTTCTTCGTTATAACTCGGATTTCGGCGTTCTTTATATGTACGGAATCCTTGTAACATATACTACAACTTAGTTAAGATTACTCCTAAATAATCTTCCATCAAAAAGTCATTTTTGATGCTTATCGTCTCTAAATTGACTAGCCCAGATCTACGGGCGTTACACCTTCACCAGAGCAACTTGACTGAATGATTAGTGGAGAGAGAGGATAATATGGTTTATTAGTATATTATAAGAATAATATATTAAAAGAGAAATCATATTAATTAATTAATATTGGTCAATAATTAATTAAGAATTAATTTTGTGATCAAAAGATATTAATTGAACTTAGGGGACTGGAATTGCAATTATAAGATAATTGGATTTTAGGCTGTGGATCCCTATGGATCAAGGGGTGGACGAAATTGGGGTGGATGCCCACCTTGAATTCGTCCAAGGCCTTATTCCAGAAGGTTCTTTGGACTGCTTAAGGCCTAAGCTATCCAATTAGGGTTTTGAATGAGACCCTAGCAACACACCTATAAAAGGAACCCTAGGGCATCCAAAATCGGCTACCAGTGAAACCCTAGAGTTCTTAGAGCCGATTTTGTGCCTCCATCTCCTCTCTCCAAGATCATTCTTCTTGCTTTGGTGTTTGTGAGCCATAAGAGGTATTACATTTGTGATACTAAGCTCTTGAAGATTGAAGATTCTTGCTACTCTTGAAAGGTATTCATCTAAACCTATTTTGTTATAGATTTCGTTTTTAGTATGCTAGAATTAGGGTTTATAAGCTTTGGATGATTTAGAGAAACCTAGATCCAAAGCTTTAGGGTTTTGCACGTGCACCATAGGATTGATGATTTGCTTAAAACACATCACTCATTTGAAGGGGGTTTTAAGGAAACCATATTGCATGCAGTAGCTATGGATGGGAACAACC